AGGTCTTATGATGACCTTGAACACCTTCCAACAAACACGGGTCCACATTAAATTCAAAATTAAAGCTTGTTATCACAGGATGATTAGAACATACTCTACAGCTGCAACTTGAGCTAGACTTGATCAATAATTTTAAGTTGAGGAAATAACCTCCTAAAATAAAAACACAAATCAGGGCCCAAAAATTCACAACGATAGTAGTACAAAAATGAACAGCACTTCTGTAATACATTGGGTGATGAAGGATTTTTTAAAAAAAAAAAGAAAAAAAAAAAAAGAGCAAACCATAGCTCTCTTCAAATACATCAGATTTTGTGTTTCAGTTACTTAATGAATGGATAGAAGGATCTACTAACTTAGGTTGACTGAGGTTGCAAAGCACATTCATATTGCATAACCATAAAAGAAAAGACCTCAGAGTTACCGATTCAGAAATTTAGAATAAAAGAACGGTACAGACTTGTGCTATGGATGTAAAGCACTCAAGAAGCGGAAAAAGATCTTTATCTGCATTTGAAAGCTGCTGCCACTTTTCAATTAGTGGTGGCATCAAAATTTCAAGATAAAGTGGCTGCAAATTACACCGTGAGTCCGTCTATCCATGAGTGAAGAGTGTGGCACTGTGGTAGAGGATTAGAGGAGAGGATCAAAGGAAAGTCGACCGAGAGGCGAGACTCGCGAGAGAGGAATGGGAAATCCCTAATTCGAAGCAGCAAGCAAAAAAGGGGCTGAAAGTAAAATGTCTTTCTGCTAGGCAGCTAGGGTTATATGTAAATTCGGCTCTAAATTGGGCTGTAAATTGTGAATTTGGGCAATTAAGTTTAGGAAATAGGAATATTAGATTTACAAAAAAAATTGGGTTGGGCTGAAGAAGTGAGAATTGGGTTTGGAAAATTTGAAAATAGAATGGGTTGTGAAATTTAAATTATGTTGGTATTTGGTTAGCTAATTAGGTTGGGTGAGTAAAAATTAATTGTTAATATATGTACAAAAAATATATATATATAAATAAATTTATATTTTTTTTAATTTTATATGAATCCCCACGGTTTCTACGGAGTGGAGAAAATTCCCTGCGAAATTTCACGAGCAAAAAATTACCTCCATCCCCACTCCATGGATAAGAATATTCTGAGAATCTCCATCCCCATGACGGGAATTTCCATGAAGCTCCGCGGATCGCGGAGGAAATTGCCATCCTTAGTGGGGCATTGAGTCATGGAATCCGCAATTTCCATTCCACAAGCTCCAGTTATTGAGCAGAGAAGGGTGGGAATTTTTATCGATGAACGTACCCAGACGGTTTAAGGACTTGTCTACTCACTGTTCCGTGTGATTTCCGTGTACTTAAAAGCTGAGACTTTTCTAAAGATTGGCTGGTGAAGACTTGGATTTGAAGTTTTGAACACGTCATGACTTTATGCCCCTACTGCATTCCCACATTTTCCTTTCACAGCATCCAATTTCTTTAAATGACAAAAGGGCTCACTTAAATAAAAGGAAAAAAAAAAGCCTATAATGTCAATTAATATACAAAATTGAGTAACTGTACCAAGCTGTATTTATAAAGCTTATCAACTACACACAAGCTTATCTGAACAAACCGAATAAGACTCCTTTAGGTTGGTACCATGCCTAGTAATAGGTTGGAGAAATACTTCTTGCAATTAATTGAGCCTTTAGTCGACATGACAATCAGTGCCATGACTAAATTTCAACAATTTAACTGCAGAGGAAATTCTTGCAATGAATTGAGCCTTAAGTCAACATGACAAATTGACAATAAGTGCCATGACTAAATTTCAACAATTTAACTCCAGAGGAAACAAGAAAATTTCTCTCAAATTTATTACAAAACAAAAAAAAAAAAAGAAGAAAATTTCTAGGTCCGTTCATATAGCTACGGCCTGCAGGACTTTTCCTTTATATACAATGCAAGTTAAAGGTTTGTTTGCCCAGCTCCCATTTAGAGTGAAATTGATTTACTCTTTTTTCAGCCAAATGGGATTTTCAAGACTCTTTTTGCTCTTACTATCCTCCGCTTTTCAC